TATCAGAATCAATTACCGGAGTTTTCTCGCTGAAAGTTAATAGTCTGTGACAGCGGCAAGATACCGGACATTTTTGGCCCAGCGAAATGTTTGGAAAAAGAAGTGCCGAAGGGTAGAATCGGTAAATATTGAGCACCGCTCCAATCAATGAGATATAGCCATGCTCAAGCACAGTTGATTTAGAGATAGTTTGAAGAAAGAGGCAAGATTGATGGCTGTAGTCATTGAAGTCTAATACACCAGGCACTTGAATATAGTAATAGCATGTAACCATTTATGACAATCCACCTATTAATAAATTTACTGACGAGAAAACACCTATTGACAAACATACAGACGAGAAAACACCTACTAATATATGTACTGACAAGGATCATTGATATTACATCTGACACTGAGATATATATGCAGGATAAAATGGCCAGAAATCAAAACGGAATAACATAACTGTTATAACCCTATGCAAATCCAAACCATACTTATCACAGAAATCAAGACATCAACAAAAACCAGACATCGTTCACAACTAGAGATACAGTATCAGACCTGCGAAAAAGTGCTAGGCCGCTCAAATATTAAAACAAAGAACCAGAAATCCCTCTGAAACCATACTTGGACCCGTGCGAACCTGGAGCGTAAACAACAAAAGCACTTTACCCTCTCACTTACGAAAAAATAGCCTATTACCCGACATAACTCAGGGAGAAAATGAATCAATCCTCCTGATACATGTCTCGTTTTAATCAAACATTGTAAACGGTCTGAAAACAATGCTCTCAATATCAAGACACAAGTATCACATAGAGGGCTAAAAATAAGAACCTCCAAACTAATAAGATTTTGAATGAAGGCACTCCTATGAACACAACCGAGCATTTAAAAATAACAACCTTGGTGATAAGAATATTATGGAAAATAAGAAACACTTTGCCAATCAAAATGAAACAATCTGTCAATGGAATTGTAACAGATTTTCCGAACATTTAGAGCACCTAAAAGTGACCCTAGATTGTCTCCTAGAATCACACTTACACGAACCTCAAATAGTGAGATAAAAAGATTAACAATATATACCGAAAAGCAAAAGAGCGTCATGGGAAGACACGTATCTTCATTAAATCAAGCATTTCAATAGGAGCTGTGGAATAAAGTGAAAACATTGAGGATCGCCAAAACAAAGAAAAAGCTGGTATAAAGAGTGGACATACATTATAACTGATCCTGACGAATTCGTTAACGAAATCACGGGCGGGATCTACGGGGGGGCTTTCGGGCTGAAGCCCCCCCCCCAAATCGAAAAATATAACCATTTTATGGAAATTTTTTTTTAAAATTACCTCTAAAGTATTAATGTTCGTGTAAATTACATTTGAAAGAACTTAAGAATAACTTTAAACACCATTTTCATATAGGTAGTTAAGTTTCTTTCTGTTTTTCCAAGAATGATCGTTATTTTATGAAAAAAAAAAAGTTTTCGGGCTGAAGCCCCCCCAAAAATATATTTTTTTTAAAAAATTAAATCTGGATCCGCTATGAACGAAAGTGATAAAACTCTGCAACAGACTGTAAGTTAAAGGCGTTGCCAATGACCCTACAGGGTAGAGGCAACAAAATACCAAATAAATAAATAAATAAATATTCAGGGAATAATCAGGTGAAAACGTCATAAAATGCAACGATATTAACGATTTTAAAATAATTGTACTCCTTCAGCGAAGAATGTCGATTTAAAAAAAAAAATGTATATATATATATATATATATATATATATATATATATATATATATATTTATGCTTGAACCTTTAGTTTTTAATATTTATTAATTATTATAAATCTATACCGTTTAAAATTTTTTAAGTCAGTTTTTCTTTCAATATTTCTAATCTTCAAAATTTTCGCCCACTAATGTTGACTTGAATAATCAGAATTATTTTTATTTAGAATTTCTCAAAAATCAAAACATAATATTGCCATATTAACAAAATCGCGTGAAGCAATCAATTAGTTTTGGTTTCATTCGAAAATCCATAAATAATGATTCTTATTATAACTTCTAAGTCGCATGTCTGTGGTGGATGAAGTTTTTTCCCTTCTCATCACTGTGAGACGTCGAATCGATTACACACGTTTCCTGACTATTTAAGTGATAAAACGCTTTTCCAAAATTTTACAGTTACGTCGTTTTTCACGGGATGAGTGATATGCGATATATTTTTTGCTGTACTGATATTGCTTTCCTCGATACTTTTTATTTTCGAAAAACAATTAGAAAATTGTATCTTTGGGCAAAAATTCTTTTTAAGTCTGAACCTAAGACTTATGAACATTTTAATTGCCTGATTGTGGATTCCGGATGTATCGAAATTATTAATCCGCTATGCATAAACGTCTACACTGTTAAAAATTGTATGACATATACCAAATCAATTTTAAATTGTCCAAACATTTGCAATCTTCTAATCAGATATAATATTATACTATTATTTTTTGTTATATTATTTTCTTTAGTAATTTTTTATTAAAAATATTTGATAGGTTAACACGGCATGAAAAGCGGAATATGATTCGATTTTAGAATTTGTTGATGTTTGAACTGACCATAGCATAGAAAAAATATTTGGTGTAGAATCTCTGAATATCCAAACATGAGCTGAATTTAGTAATCAAAGCAAAACTATGTTAACACATACAAACAAATGATAAATAGCTAATTTTCTTTCTCATAGTCAATTAATTCAAGATAATTAATCAATCATCCAACCTTTTACTATGAGTGAATAGCTTCTTTTGTTTAAATTCATTTCTCCTCTTCTGGTATGATGATTATTATAGGGATTGTTGTTATTATAATGTGTTCATACTTAACCATAAAGTTACGCCAATTAAGAGACATAAATGATTGATAACGGAAGTGTGTGGTGCTAATTGAATTTCCACGAATAGAGAAAACAAACTTGAAAACATTTCCTAGAAAATTCAAACTTATTTAGGGTGTTTCATACAGGAAGTATTACTTCATTTTTCGAACATCCCTTAAATTTATATCAATGTTTACGTTTTCATACTTACTAATACAATTTTTAATTACGTGTGCAATTTCCACAAAAAAGTTAAAAACGTGCAACTTAATGAAAAATAAAATTTTAATATATTAATCAGGGCGTGTTAATTCAAAATAAATAAATTTTTCTAAATCGATTTGGAACCGGCTGGAAAAATGTGTTATAGCACAATAATCTCGGTTCCAGTGTTCTAGTTCTAGTTATCAGGTTTCTATGAGCTATAACTTTTATTTTTCGATTCTTACAATATCAACAATGTCACCATATTTTGTAAACCACTCATTTGTATGAAGAAGTTTACTAATTACTGCCTTAAACAACTATCCAACTGAAATAAAATGAACAACCATAAAATGTTGTTTATCACAAAGATTAAAATTATTATTAAAATGAATTTACGTTATGCTCTCAATGTAAAATTGGCTATACTTTAATAATTTGTTTATACAATAGCCTCTAATGATCGAATACCAGACTTAATCGAATGCACATAATACTTAAAAGATTCAAAGAGTATTATGGTCTAGAGTTGCTATGGCAAACCGATATGATCATTTTTGAAACTTTTGTAGGTGCGTCTCAATGCAGTGATGATGTAATAAATACAACAATTAAGGATCGTTTTGTAAAAAGGACACTAATTACGAAAGTTAAAGGGTTAGACTTTTAACAATTTCCATAGCTTAATATATGTCATTGGCTGCTATTTAATTATTTTTGTATTCTCGAAATCACTATACATCATTCCTTTAATTGTTCATAATGCGTCAATAACTCATACCTCTGGAATATTAGAGATGGCATTACACGGGCAGCTCCTATTTAAAGTATTTTTCTTGTTTCTATTAGTAGTCATAAACTTGAGAGCCATATTAAGGAAAGCAACTTAGTCGTTAGTGTTGCCCAAAATTGGTCTTGGTCTTGCACTTTACTAGACCAAGGCCAAGATCGGCTTACTCTTGCAAGACCAAGACCAAGACTAGTAAAAAAAATATCCATTTTTTAAATAAAAATTAAGGCAAAATAGTCACGAATATTTGACAATTTTAGTTACTATATGTAAATAATTGATATAAGCAATATACTTTTGCATTTAACTCTTCTAATTTTTCATTCGGGGTTAGATTTCTCCTATCTAAAAAAATACAGCAATATCTCTGTAGTAATAAGCTAATAGGTAACTGCAAGACTCTTGCGCAAGACCAAGACCACGACCAAGACAGAGTGAGCAAGACCAAGACTCTTCTTGGTCATTTTTGGATTTAGGACAACAAAATTTTGCAACATCAATTTTATTCTTCCAACTTAAATTGATACGGATAATAGTCAATGCCCCATTCTATGTAATCAATAAAACCCAACATGACCTTAATATCCCCTTTGTTCTAGACCTTATCTCTGAATTCTCCAATTTTCACCAGAACAACATTCAACAACTTTAACAACATGCAAATCTTCTAGCACCAACTCTATAGATCCATTCATCCCTACATTTCTCCAGGAAGTTTAAAACGCCAGTGTCCTCGCGACCTTCGGAAAGTATGGTCTTGCTCAACTTCTCTGGGTTTTAACTACAGTGACACGGTAGAGAGAGAAACGCTGGGATTTACTGAAGTCCTACTTTTCATCCACGAGTAGGGGAGAGAAGCTTGGTTCAGAGATTTTCTGGCTGATAGTAAATAATGTGTATAAATATACCTCTGTTTAAGATGTCATTTGACCTCGTTTATCATCAAGTTCAATACACGGTTTGCCTGGCAACGTGGGAACCCGATTACGTATTCGAGTCCCGGCGCCAAGGGCGTTTAACTTTGGTATTAATTTTCTGCCCTCAACCCTGGTCCGGGAAAAACTTGTATAGCCAAAAAGGCAGGAGAGAAAAGAAAAAAAAGTTTTTCACTAAATTTAAATATATTTTTTTTATTTAGTTTTTTTTTATGTAGCATTATTTAGATATTGTTATAATTTTGTTCCATTACATTTAATAAAACTCCAACATTCGAAATGCCCATTTTTCGGAGAACCATCCATTACGGAAAAAATTTGAAGCCACTCATGATGATTTTGTTATCTCGTTGAGTTGAAGCATCAATGATCAGCACCAGGGCGATACGGCAGCTCAGTCCAACATCGTCTCTCCTTCACTTCACCAGGTATTCCAATTTCTATATCTTTATCTACTAAAGGATAAGATAATCTAAACATAACTGATTATTTGAATTCAATCTTAAGTTAATTAACTATCGCTAATTTTATAAAAATAGAATCACTCTAAATTTGTAAGCTGTGGCATCAAATAATTTATTAAATTTTATTATATATACATACATATATATATATATATATATATATATATATATATATATATATATATATATATATATATATACACATAAGAGTCTTCTGCTTTCTAAGTTTGTTAGTGCTTTTTACCATCGATTTACGTTTCGATAAAGATATTAAAAATTATTTTCATGTAAAGTGAATAAATAAATAAAATTGTGGAATATATACGTCAATATATAATAGCAATACCAATTTCATGAGGTCCTAATATATCTTCTGATCAGCTGTAATCCAAACAGTTACAATTTATAAATGTAATAATTGTGAATGAATGAATGACTGTAAATTAAATTCGCGAAAAACTGTATTCTGTAACAATTTTATGAATGGATTCGTTTCCAACCCTCTATAAATTTTAAGATCAAAAAGTTGGGAATAGCGAAAAATCGACTTCATATTATGAAAACTGTGGTAAAATATTCAACTCAGAGAGTTACTTGAATTAAAAATCAATATGAAAACTTTATAATTTAAACAATTTAAATTTTATAGGTGCTTTGCTGTGTTTGTTTAGAAAAGAAAATCACTGTCGATAAAGTTCTAACCCTGAATAAATAAATACATAAAGTTCTCTGAATTTTTTCCCTGATGAAATTGTGAAATTTTGTCCAACTATTTAAATTGTTGTTGCAACTATGGAAATGTTTAGTAAAATTTGATTTCAAGTATTAATATTTTTGTGAAATTCTTCCACCCCAAACATTGTTTCTGTGACGATCCTGGCTCTAGGTCTAATGATGTTACTTAGACAAAGCCAGTGAAAAACGAAATGATAAAAAACCTCTTTCTTAATATAAAATGGTAATGATATGGCCAAATAAGTGTCCAAGATGCAGAAAATAAATTTCCAGAAGGCTACGAGATGACAGAAACGTTTGTTCAAAAAAATGATTATATGGATCATAGGAAAATAATAAGTTAAGTTATAAATAAGTTTTAAATGACCTTCAGACTGTGGATTGTTAGTAATACAAGTACTCGTATAGTTTAATCTTGACTAATTTACCGTTCATCATTAAGTTTTATTAACAATAATTTATGAGGTTGATGTATAACTGAGCAGAAAGGATCAAAACCAGCCATGCAACCTTGATACTGTTTTATTGGAGTGACATTTATATTTATTTGATTTCCCACTTTTATTGAAAAAATGGTTAAATCTGGACATTTAAACGGAAAGGTGATTCACCCACCGAAGCTTCTGAAGTAATCGATTTACTGACCCCTGCGAGCTTAAGCCATCCAAATTGGTTTTCCTTAATTCGTGAAAAAGCAACGCACGACCTAAAGGGAGAAACACGAGGAAAATATAATCCTGGCTACTGGACTTTGCATGGTTTTGTTCTGTTTCGAATGATTTGCCAGTAGGGCGATTAACTGTTCTGAAATTGTTACCAATGCCTGTTTCCTTCAATCCAAACTTAAATTACGCTGGGAATGCAATAATTTTGATTGGCTGCATAATTTAAACCTTTAATTTAAAAATTCAGTCATTGATTAAACCTTGCATGAAGGATGTATGATGCATGTTAGATCCAAAACCGACTAAAAACTGAAAAACTGTAGCAAGACCGATTCATACAATTTCAGATAATGTGGATAACGAGTCTTTGGGAAGGTAGGAAACTTTTTTTAGTCTACACCGTGATAAAAGTACGCTTTGCGATGTTGCGAAACTTAATGTTCTTTTATTTGTGAAAAATCCATTTGAAGTGCAAGTACGGAGAAGAAGAACTTTAAATGAATGGGGAACTTACACCACCGACAATGAAATCTTTAGGGTTTTTGAAAAAGTTGTACAGACAAATTATTAGGAATGGAACAAGTTTGCGGATGTTTGCAGCCGGCTGAAATTTTTGGTAATGTTAAGAAAACTGAGGATGAATACATCGGCAGTATATCCACTCAACAGTCATCAAACAATCACACAACATTGATATTCTGAGGAAGCTAGAAGAACGCATCCATATTAAAACCGCCCGCTTCATGCACGTTTTAAAAAAACTTACCATCAAAGATCTGCGTATGTATCACTTGGACTTCTTGTGTAGTGTATCGGCGGGAAAACTTTAAACCGAAATATTTTAAATAATAGATGTAAAGTTATCTATGTCCATATATCTAATTGGCTCCTCAAGCCAGTATTTATTTTTCAGCATGTTTGAAATTAAATTAAACAACTTTTTCTTTCTTTTTAAGAAAATTGAGAAACATAATTACAGAATATAAACTAATATTTTTTTAGGTGACATTTCGGGCTGAAGCTCCACCAAAATGGTAAAATATAACCATGTTTTGTGAAAAAAAATGATCTCTAAAAGCATTATTGTTCGTCTAATTACATTAAATATGACTCCAAGAACACCGTTTTATATAGATAGTTTATTTATTTCTCCCGAAGTAATTATCCTAATATTTACATACAAAAAAAAAATCTGCAGCCCCACCAAAATTAAATCCTGGATCCGTTAGTGGTCACATGACCTCCAACGGATATCAACACATGATCTAAAAAGCAATTTGTAAGTCTTTATGAAGCGATTTAATGGTTACGTAAAAAGGACAATGAGTGATATATCGGAGATATTTAAATTGGAATATTTTAATAATATGTAAGTGAGTTATTTTGCATGAACCCCACACCTGAGTGGCATACGGCCATAATAGTCTGAGTAGCAAGTTGTATATAGTAATGTTGTTAGAAAGTGATAGTTTGTTTTTATGGTGTAACACTTGTCTTACAAGGGGAGGTTACAAATGTAGGGCCACCAATTTTAATGGAACATTTTTTGATGATATTAGGTCGAAAAATACTAGACACATATGCCAATTTTTATAACATATTATTATTTTTTTGTATTATTGTTTTCAGGCTGTTTTTCCTGCATGGATATTCAGGTTATTATATCATTCTTTCAGAATGACAAACTCTAATTTCAACATTTTTGAGTAAAGTCATTTCAGTGATATTTCTAGTTGGAAAATTTATAATATCTGTACAGACAGTGAGTAAGTTGATATCAATAATTGTGTAATTTTTTCCACTAGAAATATCATTAAAAATTTTTAAATTGGAGTTAGTCGTTCTGCCAAGTGAACGTTTCATATATCAATCGATTTGTTATTTGTGTAAAATAGGAAAAACCTATTGCTAACGCCTCTATAAGGAATAAATAAAGAAATACTCCCCAAGCAATTTTATGTTTTTCATAAAGCCTTATTGATTTGCGGGCTATTTTGGTTTCATGCTATTTTGTGTATATTATAGGACTCTAAATTCATGCTAATTTTCTTGTGGATATCTGATGTCATCTCGAATTTATCACATTTTTTGTGATTTTCGGAAAAAAATCAAGTATCCATGCTTATACTATGGTTGTATGTCAAATATATATTTGTTTCAAAACCGGACTGATATCGAAAGTACGGTTACATGCACAATTATGTGGTATTTTGACGAGATTCGATCTTAAAAAAAAAAACAAAGACTATTTTGTACATATTACATCACTACAGTGTTTTGAACAGATTATAATATGAAATATATTTTTTTAGATAAACTATGATAATATTCATTTTCCGCATCTCTAAAAACCCTTAAATACGAATTTTCGTTGCAATCGAAAAATGTATATTTTTTGCTCAATATTCGGCCTTCTATTAATAGCTCTTATAAGATCATCTATGTTCATTGCCTTATAATAGATATTAAAACTGTTAAATACATTTAAATATTGAGGACATTTTCATTGCAATCGAAAAATAAATATATTTTGCTAAACTAATATATAAGAAATAAATTTCAATTCGAACCTGTTGGACTCAAACTGGCGTCCTCAGACTTTAGAATGTTAAAGAGGGAATCGATTCAGCAGGCTCGACCACCAAAGCTTCATGCTCAGCTATTCGTTAAGTTAACGTATCAGAAACAGTGAGGACTTTATAAGTAACACTTTTATTCATGTCTGTTACAAATGGCATCTTAACATACAGAATTATACTATAAATATATGGGTTGACCACAACAGTTCACTTCCAAGAATATAATTGTATGAGTGATCTGTTCTGAGGACCAACCAGGGGTAAGCTTGGAGTCCTTGAGGAGGCCACAGGCGAATCTACGGAGGGGGAAGGGCTTTCGGACTGAAGCCCCTCTCTCCACAAATGGTAAAATGTAATCATGTTCAATTACATTTAATAGGACAAGAATCACTTAAACATCATTTCATACAGGTAGTTAGTTTCTTTCTTTTTTCCAAAGTAATGTTCGTTATATATATGAAAAAAAAGTTAAATCCAGGATCCGCTAGTGGAGTAAGACCATCCTTTTAGCAGTAAGACCATGGGGGTAATATACCCAGGCCCTACTAGCTTGTCCTAGCTATCTAGTGGTAGCTTTGTTCTTTTGTCCTTTGAGTTATGGAAATTTTCAATACATGATTTACCAATAGGCATTGTTATCAAACTCAATTATTCAAATAAAGGTTAAATTAATATTATTATTTGTTACAGATTAAGTCCATTCAGTAACTGTAACCTTAACTACCGACTATTGCATTCCGACAATAGCGGTTTCGAATGAAGGCGGACTTTCGGGATGAAGTTCCCGCCCCCCCCCCCTTCCCCTTCCAAAAAAGCCTGGATCCGCTACTGCTCCATGATACTGTTAGATCGGTGAAGAATAACAGTGTCTTTCTTGTGTCAATTTATCATATCTAAATTCATATTTAAAAATAATGTAACAATATACCTACATATACAATTATACATACTCATATATGTATATCTTTCTTTTTTTAACATCACA